GAAGAGATGTGGGAGCACTCAGCTTCACTGACAAAGATGTGAGTTGTTTGGGAGGGCCAGTAACACATTGGTGGAACATGACGGAATTAGACGACTTGTTACATGGCCGAGGGGTCCCTGGTGATGCTATTTTATTAATGGAAGAGCAGAAGGTGATTAAAGCAAGAGAGAAAGAAAAAAAAAATACAAATTCTGAGAAATAAATTCAAAATTCTGACTATTTTTTTTTATCATATTATATTGAAATAAAATTTACAAATCAGTTAACCTTTTTTATTTTTACAAAAAATACAAACAAATACATACAAAAAATGGGTTTTACGTCTTCATACCACTTTTCAGACAATTTACATTAATCAATATCGGTTCTCTGGCTGTATATAATGAGAAGTTTGTTTGGTGAAAAATTGTGTTCCTTTTTATGTTCGGGTGATGTAGATTTGATTGGAAATTGGAATTTGGTTTAGTTTGGTGTTAGCCAGTCTCTTTTTGTGTGCATTTGGTTGTTCGTTTGCTTGAAGTATTTTCCTGAAATTGATTTATTCATTATTATTTGTCAAATTTTCAAACTGTATGAAATAAATTCCTTTTCATTCATTCATTCATTCATTCATTCATTCATTCATTCATTCATTCTTTATTTCTTTCATAAAAACAAAGTTTCTCATTTGCACTTTTCTCATCTTTTCCACATTTTTGCTATTTTTTCTCACTGTCTTTAATTTTCTTTTATTTTTCTCTTTTTACATTTTCTTTGTCTTCTCCGTATAATGTCATCTTATTTTTCTAATTTGCTTTGGATTTTTATTTCATATATATTTTTTATTTTAACGGAACATATCTAAAAACCCCACATGCTCTATATCCACAACAATAGCACAGCTGGTGTTTGGTAGTGGGTTTCATTTTTTCTTAACAGCAGCTGAAGCCTTTCTCAGCTGTCCTATTGTTCCTTCAGTGTGAGACCTAACACCCCCACAACCCCCACTAAAACTGGCCATCTGCTGTAAAGCCCCCTTTCCTGCAACCACATGCCACAGTGAAAAGCCATAAGGTCATACAGAACTCTAAATCAACATTAATTTACTAAACCAGTCTGTATTAATAATTGTTTTAATAATTTTTCACGGGTATCAAAGTCACTGCATATTGAGGTTTTAAAATTTTAGTTTTAAAAACACGAAAATGTTTTCTTATGTTACAATTTTCAGTTGATCCCAGTCTATTAAATGACGCACCAGAGAAAATACCAAAGGGAGCAGATGTATCCTGAGTTATGAAGAAATACTCTTGCCCCAGAGAAAGCTGCTAAATGTACAACCTAATTTAAATAAAGACTTCAGTAAAAAACACAAAGTTGTAAACTAAGAGCTGTAACAATCACCTCTACCAAGATGGTTTTAAAAGTAAGTCTAGAAATTCGAGTTTAAAACCATCTTCTTATTCTTCTCTTTTTTTGCCGTTTGCTGGTCGGAGTTCAAAGTTTGGTTCCAAGTTTGAAGACGTTTCGCTTTCCATCCAGGAAGCTTTTTCAATTCAGAATGTCAGAAATAGCATTAAGTTCGAGGCTTTAAAGAGTAGAGAGTGGAAAACATGCAAATTGAACCGGATGAACGGGTCCGCCCATTAGGAATGTGCAGTTGTTTGGGATCTTTGTTAGCCTGCAATACCCGATACTGGTCTATGTCTCTGAAAGATGGTTTATTAGGAGAAAAAAAAAAGCTTCCTGGATGGGAAGTGTAACATTTTCAAACTTGGAAACAAAGTCCAGTGGATTTTTTTTTTTTTACTTTTTGGAATATGTTTAAATTAGAACAACAAATCACCTGGTTGGGCCATCCACCCCAGGCCCCCCTTCTAGCTCCACCCCTGGCCCCTCATCTTGATAACGTTAGGCTTATTAATGTCAACAAGTTCAAGGACAACAATTAAACTTTTTATTGCTCAGTACATGAGGTGAAAATCTTAGAGATCCACATTTTTAAGCTCTGACATCGTTAAAAGGGACTGAAGGATCTCTGCAGATGGTCAGAACCAGGAGCAAAATTCATCATAACCAACATAAAACATCTAAAAAAAAAACAAACATAAAGATGCTGAGGAAGATCAGGACAAAGATGAAGAAACTGGTGCTGTGGAGGCATTTCCTGTGTATGTGCGCAGGAACTGATCCAGACTGTAGACGGTACCCCAGCCCACAGAAGGGTCCATGCTGATGAAATCATCCAGATTCATCTGATTTTCTGAGGAGGAGATGTACCACAACACAACAAAATCACATGAAGTCTGACTTGGATACATCATCAGACACAGCTAACACCAAAGGGAGACGTGCTACCTGCAGTCTGTATGGGCGGGTATGGAGGTGGAGGCATCTTCCAGGTTCCATCAGGGTTCCTCATGTGAGATCGATCAGACGCAAAGTTCAACAGGAAGCTGTTGGCAGGAATCACACGCAGCTTCCTGTCAAAGACACATGCAGACATTACTGTGATGTCATCAGCATTGTTACCTTCTGCAGGGTTTACCTGTGGTATTCCGGTCTGATGTGGCGGTCCGAGCGGAAGGCCATGGCTCCATAAAGGCCTAGGCTGCAGGGAAACGACAGCTCTGAGTCCAGATCATAAACCAGAGAGTCTGACTGAGGATGCACCTGTAGCAAAACCACGTGGTAGTCCTGATAAAAACAGCCGCACAGTTAATGATGTCACAGAAAAGCAGTAGGAAAATCAGATTCAGGGATACTAGTGTAAGAAATACAGACCCAGAAGACAGGGTGGTCACCATGTCCGGATTTCTGTTTCCATAGAGGGATCTGGAGAACAAAGAACACCTTTAGAAGAAAATAATCAGTTCTTTAGGAACTCAAGCTTCAAACAAACCAGGGTCACATGTATGTATTATACATATTATTAATATGATTGAATTGAGTTAAAGGAACGTGATGCATATTCTAAATACCTCACCATGTTCTCCAGAACCTAAAGCTGCTTAAATAAAGTCATCAAAAAAAAGCTTGGACATGTTTTATGGAGATGATTGAAAAAGTATTGACACCCTCACCCCTACTTTAAAGAAGGACCAGGATATAAAGTCTTAGTCAGAGCTCTTATAATAGATACCTCTTTAATCTATCATCTGGACATGAAAGAGTGCAAATATCTTTAACCCTACAATGAGATGGCCATATACATAAGGTTACAGGTCAGACAAGATGAGTATTAAACAAGGCTCATGGTAACTAGCTTTGGTAAAAAAAAAATACACGGAAGACAGAAGTTGTGCAATTTACAAATCTGGACGATCAGGAAGTGGTAGTTGAACAAAAACCATAAAGCGACATGTTGTTTTTTGTTTTTTTACGCCGTGCGGAGAACAACATGTGGAAAAGGATTCTGTGTTTAGATTAGAAAAAAAAACTTTTTGGCCAACATGAAAAATTGTTTTTAAAGAGTTTACTGCCTCGCCCACAATTACTTAAATTATATAATTGTATTAGGTCATCAAATCAATTTAGTTTAGACAGTCGAATATGCTGCCTGTAGTGTCTTTAAATGTCCAGCAGGTGTCAGTATTCTGCGAGACAGTATCAATGCAGGATCAATACAGTGTCGAAACGCTTCAAGATGCCTCATTAACTCATCATTAATGTTCATTAGTCCCTTAAATAACCGGCTTATAATGAATCTATTTCATTTATTCATAAACTCAATAATCCATTAGCTTTATATTGGTCTCCAGACTCTCACCACTCGTTTGTCATTGGAGATGAAGACCACAAAGAGCTGTTCCAGTGGAGCCGTTTTCTCCGTTCTAAAAAACTCACACAGCTTCCAAACATTTTCTTCACTGCAAATAAAAAAATAAAATAAAAAAACAGAGAAGGGGCCCAAATGAAAAGGGATTTCAAGGACAACAGTTTAAACAGTTTTAATTAAACCTTTAAAATGAAACCAACACATTGAGGAAGTTGTACAAGATGGCAAAATTAATCACTATGAAGAGAGCTGGTTTCAAATGCTGCTATGCATACAAATAATGATATTGTTATAGAGCTGAATTATGGACCGAAGTTTGATTTATTGGTATTTATTTAAAGCTCCCACTTGTTTTTTTTTGTAATGATTAATTAATGTAGCAAACCGTCGCAGATGATCATCACCATGCAGCACAATAACCTTTTAGAAGAACACTGCCTGAATCAAAATTGTTGTTGTAATCATATTTACCAGTAACAGCTGGTATAAACACAATTTTCGCGGCTAGGTGTGATTCTGTCCACTGCCGTCATGATCTGGTGTCACACCAGAATGGGTCCGGCGGAAGTACGCTAGGAATTTTCAACTTAAAAGCCCCTAATGTAAGTAGTCATAATAATAGCATTATTAAAATGTGTTAAAATGTATTTTTTTTTCATTTGTGTATATCATAAAATTAAAATAGTTAGAGATTATTTAAGGATTTTATTTAACCTGCAGCATTAGGCTGGGGTTGGAAAGAAGGATGGTATGATCATCAGTGTATGTATGTGTTGGTCAACTAATATTTAAACAATTCCAAGCAGAGGTAGTTTTAGGCCAACTTTACCGGGGGGCAAGATGGGGCCAATGCATTAAACAAGCAAAAATAAAAAAAAAACATTTCAACTGGGCTACTGGTCTCTTTTGGCTCCTGTCTAGAGCCACCCATGATCCCAGAAAAACACCATCTTTCACCAGAAGTCTGAACCACTGATACAAGCCACCATAGGATTCCTGCTTTTATGTTGTTTACACCAAACTATGACAATCTATCATCAGACTGATGCAGCAGTCAAAAGGATTTTTTTTTGCCATTTTGTATTGAAAAATCTTGGTTAGCCCATATTACAGTTTTTCACTGTGCAGTAATCTGCTGCTTTTTAAGATTCACTCATGTGTTCAGAGATAATATCCCATATACCTCTGTATGAAGCTTCTAATCTGAGCATGCCTATTGTCACAACTGTCTCCTGTGCTCCCTCAGCATTTTCCTCAGGCTTATAAACTTATAAGACAGTGTGTCAAAAGTTTAGAAATTAGCCACCCATCTCTTACCATCAACCATGGCACATTCAAAATCATTTTAATGATTTTTCTTCCTTCTGATGCTAAACTGGAAGCTATATTCACCATCTAGATGCATTAAGTTGATGCCATATGACTGATGCACCTTATTTGGGGATGTCTGAATACAATAATGGTTTTGCAAGTCATTCAAATAACAGCCAAAAAGACAAATATCCTAATATATCGACCTGCACCTAGAATCTCAGATATCAGCAAGCTTACAGAAATGCTGTTTAATATGTTGGTAATTGATTCACATTCCTGTTGTTTGAATAACATCACTAGGTCAAATCTTTTCTAACATCCCACGCTACAAAATGAGTAAATAAAAGTACATACGATTTCTGCTGGTATTGTATTGGGTCAAAGTTAAAAATTTGTATGTCGGAAATAAAATTAAACAAGACACACTGGGACATCCCCAATTTGTATTAACAAGCAATTTTAAAGCTGCATCTTATGAATCATTAGAGCAAATTCAAGGATTTTTTTCTGCCAATGTTTACTTTTGCTCACTGATGAACTTTAAGAAATGGAATTGTCATGTGAGGTGTATGAAGCGAAATTTCGTTTTGAGGGATCTAAATATTAGACTCCTCAAAATTACCTCAAATTAATTTTATAAAGCTTCCTTTTTAGTAAAACAACAAAATAACCATCCGACTGATCCAAAGCAGGCTATTGCTACACAGGCCCTCTTGCTAAGATTAGCCACTTTTTTACTAACTTGTCTACTCTATATTGTTTTTCATGAATCTGATAAAGAATTGAACAGCTTATTGAAACAAAATGGTGCAAAGGTTTAAATCAGATTTTGTGGTAAAAAAAAAAAAAAAAAAAAAAAAAAAAAAAAAACATTCTCATTTTCTTTCGGAGGGTAAAACACAACAGAACACAAACAGTAAGAATATTATATTTTATTGAGTACAAACAGACATTAAAACTAAAGGAAATGACGTTGCAGGAAATGATGAGTGGTATCCTAGCAATCAGAATGATCAGGTTGCTAGGATACCCCAATGAGGCTGATACAGAGACTGGATCTTTAGGTAAAGAGTCTGATGGTGGCGTCTGCACCGGAGGAGAACACCCAGGGCTGTGTGGGGTGAAAGGTCACATCCAAGACCCCGAGGTCATGGGTGGTCACATGACCTCTGAGAACTTTGACTGGGACGATCAGCGGGTTCTGCAGGAGGTCACTGGAAGGGAAAGGAAAACCTGTAACACTTCTGTTTATCATACATGTGCAAAAACATAAGATTGAGGATGTTACTTGTAAACGGTGCCATGGCAGACGATCACTGATCCATCATCAGACGCTGAGGCAAACAGTGGGTAACCTCTGTGATAGGCCACACTCCTTACTGCCTTCTTATGGTGCCTGGTGGGTAGAGGAATACAAAGAAATCAATATAAAGATTATATCAGAAAACTTTCTTTCAATTCCAAAGGCAGAACACATAAACTAGGGCTGCAATTAATGATTATTTTGCAAATCGATTAATCTGTCGAGTTTTTTTTTTTTAATTAATATGATAGCAAAAGGTTCCTTAAAGAAGACTTTTTGCTAAATTAAACGAGGCAAAACTTTTCCACTTGAGGAGTTCTGAATAGAGAATATTGACAGATTAAATAGATTTTAATGTTTACCTTTTTTTGTGTGTGACAATTTTGGTATAATTACTGCTCTGTACTACAAAAATGATCTAGAAATACCATTAATTTGAGTAGGTAAATAAGATGATTTGCCAATGGAATAAGTTTTTTTATTTATATTTATATATATTTATTATTTATTTATAATATGCACTTGAAATAAGACAAAGCAATTATTTATTCCTATTTTAAATGTAAATTGTCTGGTTCCATTGGCAAAGTGTCTTTCTCACCTCCTCAATTCAAGACAAAAGGCACTTATTTTAAGAAAAAATTACTTTAGACTTGATTTTTTTCCAGTGTAAGTGTGTTGCTCTGTCAGCTAAACGTATGTTTTAGAGTCTCTTTACTCCAGTTAACAGTTAATCAATTACTAAATTAGTTGATGATTATTTAAAAATTTGCTTAATCACGATTAATCAGCTAGTTTCAGCCTAGTACAATCATACATTTTAGAGGAACCTGTTTCCAGTTATTTACTGAAATCTGAGTCGAGTCCAACAAATGGCTTCAAATGGTAGAAAAAGTGCTGAACTGCCAGAGGTCACCTAAAACTGATAACTACTTTCAGAATTATACCAAACATCAATGGGTTAGCCTTTCTTCATTGCTTACAAACCCCTCCGCCTGCATGAAAGCGGCTGGAACATACTGAGGCACCACCTCATGGTGAGCTTCAGTTGTAGTATTATACAACAGAAAGTAGTGCTTAAAAAAAACAGCAAGAAAACGGAAACGTACAGAAGAGAAACAGACAATGATAACAGTGGAAATCTTAGCATTCTCTGTGGGGAAACTGCAAAAGTTGGTTTTCCTCACTCAAAAAGCAACGAGAAACTGACAGAAAGAGGACTGGCAAACCTGAACAGAAATTCCTGAGAGATGCGTGAAGGGCAGCTCACAGTGGGCCTAAGCTTTAAAATCTAATCCTTAATTTTTAAAAATCACAAAACTAGCTTTAATTTCAATCATCCTTCTGGGAGTTGACCTTAAGTTACATGGCAACAAAACCAGAAAAAGGCCTGTAAAAATAATAACGTTTCACAACAATCAATGAATATAAAACACACTAAAATATTGCAACTAGTGGTATCACGCAGATAGCTTGTTTACCGGTATTAAATGCACATATAAGAACAAAGGTGATGGGTGAAAAAAATCCACATAATAAATAGTTGATTCCAACAATTAAATCGGCATAAAAAAGGTGATCAATCAATTGTATCGATTAACCATCAACATGGTCATAGGAAGCAAGTCTGAGTTTCAAATGTGAAGATTTTAAGCCGCAGGCTTCACAGGATGAGTTCCAGGGAGGGACCGTTGCTAAATATTAAAACACAAAGGAGTTTCTGGAAAATGAAAAGTGTTATGGACTAACGAATGAAAATTGTGAGATCTTCCTTTCATCAATCAGAATCTTTGCTGTGATGATTCCAGTGTTTGACAACTGTTTAACCAGGATAAGGAAGTACTATAGACTGAGCAAGTTTTACTGGATCCTGCACAAGGTGAGCGGCATGTATCAGCAGCTACCACAGTGCCCCCTGGTATGGGCCTAGTCAGTTAAGGGTTCATCGTACAGGAAGATAATGACCAAACATAAATCTCAGGAAGACCAGAACTAATCATGCAATAGAAGAACCAAATGGTAAGACTTGAAGAACCAGCACAGACTTCAAGCCCACTGAGCGGGATAGAGAGGAACTCGACAGAAGAGTGAACAAAAAAAAAAAAAAAAAAAAAAAAAAAACAGATACTATGCTATTTCTGCCAATGGTGGATACATGGATGAGTCAAACATTCTGATCTATAAACTGATTCAATCATTTCCTTTTAAACTCTAACTGCTTTGTTTGTACGATGATTTTAATAAAAAAAACTAAATCATTTCTAATGTTATAAATGTAAATATTTTCATCAATGTAAACCAAAACATTTATTATAATTCTACGAAGCTAATTAAAAAGACCATTCAAAATATAGAAATATTATAACAGATATGAGGTAAAGTACCGTAGCATCTTGTAAGGTTTAGTTGAAAGGTCAAGGTCAAACCAGCTCAGCCTGCAGTCGTAGCTCCCACAGATCACATGATCACCTGCAGACACACAGGTCAGAGACGGCCTCAGCCAATCAACAGCCATGTAAAGAAAAGGTTGGACAGAACAGGAAGTGACTGTTTTCCATCCACTAACCTCCAGAGTGAACAGCTATACTGGAGATCCACTTGGAGTTTGCTTGGAGTTTTTTGGTCATTTCCTGCTTGACCAGGTTGTAGATCCTGACCGAACGCTGCGTGGCCACAAAAAAGTAGGGCCTGATGGGGTGGAAGGACACGGCCTGGACTAGGCCTTTGTTTCTCCTGAAGGGGTTCTGGCTCCGTTGGCGGCTCAGCTGGTGGATGAACACCTGCTGGTGGCTGGAATGGTCTGGCATCACAGAGGCCAGGTAGTCTCCTTTACTGTGCCACGTCACCTGGTGGACAGCCTGAGGAGATGGACGTTCCTATTAGTTCCCTTTAGGAATATATTGGCTTTTAAAAAACTGTTCAGGGAATTTAACTCACTTTGGGATGTTGGATTTTGAGACGAATGCCCTGATTTAGTTCCTCCCCCTCAGTTTCTGACCAAACGACGGTCTGAGACCCTTCTGAGGGCCCCTCCTCCGTCTGTGCGGTGAGAAGCTTCTCCGACGATGAGATGACCTGTTTATCAGCCAGAGCTGGAGACAGGATCAAGACCGCAGATTCCCTAAAAACAAACAACGATGAGATGAGAGACCGACAGACTTTATGCTCTCTGCATTCATTTTCTGCTGTATGAATTAAAAGATCCTTACACAGCTACAGCCACGAGACAGAGCGCCGGGTTCGGGTTCCACGCAACGCTCTTCACAGCTCCGCCCACCTGGATCGTCTTCATGCAGCGAGACGAACACACTTCCCAGAGTCTGACTGAGCCGTCATCACTTCCTGTGGATTCAGTTAAAGCGCTGCTGAAACACGACCCCACAAAGTGACAAAAATACAACCTGGATGGCCGAGTTCAGGTTCCAGGTAAGGTTTCTGCTCAAATGCAAAACTGGAGACACTGTTTTGAAATTTACTACCTTTGATTTAAGCCGCAAGATGATTTTTGTTGCATTTTTATTTGGTGTTAACATTATTTGAACATAAACACTACCGTTTTCTTTTCTTCTGTTCTAGGCACTACGTCCAAGTCAGCAGTTACCTGCACACTAATTATGACTTTGAAGCTGCAGTTCAGTGTCTCTTGATCACTTCACTACCATAGACCTCTTTGCTGTACAGACTTGAATGCTAAATGTAAACTTGGTCAGACAGCTTTGGGAGGGGAGAGCTGCCTTAGGCAGTTTATTTTGTTTGGATCATATATTTTGTTTTTAATTAAGTTAGGTAAAGCCCGGCGTACACTGTGCGATTCTCGGGGCGATTTTCCAGTCGTACGACAATCTTTCTATCGGGCCGACTTTCAGCCTGATCGTGCGTCGAGTGGCAATCAGCCTCTCAGAACCACCTCCTGATCAGGAATCATGAGGTCCAGAGAATATAAAACATGTTTGATTTTCTCCCGACCGTCATGGGCAAATCGCTCAGGGCGCATGCGCATAGAAGGATTCTTCTTTTTATTCTTCCTCCAAGATGTAAATACAGCAACGTCGCAGGGATGCAGTGAGTGAAATGCAGTTCTGTCCGTAAAATTGACAGGTCGTAGTAGCCACGTTTGCCCAGCCATGTCTTTTTCCAAATACGTTGTCACCTTTTCTTTACAGGGCTGTCATCACAAAAATTAACAAATTGCCAAGGCAGCGCGGTTCACTATATGGAGCTTTATATTTCTCTTCTACTCATTTGGCTCCTGGATACATGAGTCAAAGCAGCTCCATCTCACTGCGGAGCTGTGTCCAACATAGTTTTTAGTCGTACAGTGCGAGCGGGTAGATCACATGACAGCGTCGGGCTGAACATAAATCTACTAAACCCTACATTTAGTCCTGCAGTGTGAGCAGCAGCTGCGTGCAACGACTGAAAAAAAAAATCGCAAAGTGTACGCCGGGCTTCAGTTAACATTTTATTTCCTTTCATGGTTTCTTTTGTTTGTTTAATTTGCCTGAGATCTGCCTGAAGCTTTTGTCAAACCATATAGAAAATAACTCAGAATATGGCAGAAAATAAACATCTTAAATGCCAGTGTTGAATTACCCACTCTCTGCAAAGTGTAATCCTGTTATACATTGACGTTACACTTGGCTGTAATAAACAGGAAGTAGAGGCAGCTATAGCAAAGACCACAGATCAGTAATGGAGCAAAGCTCAAATGAATGTGCTCCAAATGGGCGACATTTACTCTGTTTAGCATTGCAGCAATGGTTCAAGGCATCAGGAGAGGTAGAAAGAGAGGAGTGTGTTAGAGTGTGTTTCTATTGCTGCATTCAGGACACAGACAGCAGAAGCAGATTAGCAGTGATGAGATAAGTGTTACATTACATCAGAACTTGTTTTAAAAAAATTGTTTTCACTTTTTGGAAAAAGTCTAAAAACTCCGTAAAGGTATCTTTTTTGGGGAAATTTTGTTAGCCGTTGATAAGATTCCTGTTTCCATCAAGCTCTTCTACCTCTACTTGAAAATGTGCATAAAGAAGCGTTGATGTAAAAACGTTTATAAGGTCCTCTAACTTCCTACGTGATCCTTCCATGTTACTTTTTGGTGAGGAGGCTGAACGGCTGAAAAAGCACTGCTCTAGAAAATGGAATATACTAAAGAAGTAAGATCATAAATAGCTTCCTTTGCTCCTTTTACAAACCACCTGCTCGTCCAGAATGTGAACATCACCATCTATAAATATCTTGTCTTCGAAATGCAGGGGGAAAGCTGAGTCCTGAAGTAAAGACTTGGATGATGATCTGGATCACTGAGGATCTAAAGCAGTATCTAATACTAGTTTAGAGATTTCGGGAGGGTCTGGAGAAAAAAAAATATGACATATGAACAAACTGAGCGAGTTATTACCTGAAACAAGCCACTGCCCTGATGGAGACACACTGATGGAACGAACCAGGCTGCTGTGACCTCGATAAACCTGAGTGTAGAAACAAAGGCAGGCAGAAAGCAAATTAAAACATCATTAAATCTTTTGGTTTCTAAAAATCTTTACCGTCTGTTTTTAATCTACCAGAGACTGGGTCGTGGGAAATGGCTGCAGATCCTTTGGTTTGGGAAGTTTGGGAATCAGATCTTCTGGATTGACGTTCACCTGGAGGCAGAGGGCGAATTTTTAACATCACAAATCGGTTCCCCTTGTTGGAAGGAGGCATAATAACACAGCTAATCACCCTCATCTTCCTCTGTCGGGGACACAGGTAAAGGTCGAGGCAGCGCTCAAACCTCTCATGGATGAACCGAGAGAACGCAGGAACCTGGCGGAGACTGGCATACTTTTTGGGAATAAACGGCAGCCTCCTGTCTGACGGATCCTGCTGCTCCCAGAGAGCTTTCTGCAAAGGTGAGACAGGAAGTGAGCCGGCAGACAGAGAGAGAAACAAGAAGTGGAGAGAAGCCACAAACCTCCTCTTCTGTGAACATGTACTCCGGCGGGGGGTTGTAGGACTCCTCATGACCCGGCAGAGGGATTTTAGGTGCGGGCAGGTGCATCTTGTGATTCGCCAAAATAGAAGAGCTCTCACTGGCCCACAGGTCGTAGAAGCGTCCCTTGCTGTCGTCCTCCACCCGCCGGGGTTTAATCCAACCCATTTTAATGGCGTGTACCAGTTTGGAGACCTGCAGGAATGCAGATTTTAACAGTTAGAGGACTAATTAGCTGATAATGCAGCTGTGATTTTCTGGGACGTTTACCTTCTCCTTTTCGATCAATGAAGGGATGAAGCTGCGCTTGTCTGCGGGTCTGTTTGTGACTGGATGAATCATGACGTCTTTAGTGAAGAAATCCACTGCAGGCTGAGAAAGAATCCAAGCTAACAGTTAGTACAGGTTGGATCCAACCTGGAAACAGAATAACTCTGCAGAGGGTCAGCTCACCTCGTACTCGTTGAAGTTAACGTCTCCAAACTGTCCTTTCTGCAGACGGTTCACCAGCTCTATCTGCTCATCCGACAGTATGATGTCACTCGCCGTCTTCTTGTCATGAACAGTTTTCCTACAGGTAGAAAAACATTATTTGGACTTTTTGTTCGAAACTATTTTAAAAGAGTTTGTTGTTTTTTTGTTCTTTTCCTGAAAGCTCACCAGTAGTCTGGGTTCTCCATTTTCTCCAAGAACTCATCGAGCTCATCCTTATTTCTGATCGGCTTATAGATCTTCTTCCCGTCTAAGTCGTAGCCGACATGAGGGAAGTCTTTGTACCACTCCATGGGAATGTTTCCCACCGTGTTCCTGATGTCCTGCTCAGAATGTAACATGGCAGAGCGATAAGATGGAGGAGGAAACAGAAAAATAAGCATCCATCTTCAGCCAAAAATAAAAACCTTTATACAGGAGAATTATAGTAATACTCCTATAATTAAGATCTCTTAACAAAAAAATAAATAAAAAATCACTCCCTAACCTACCAAAACAGATGGAATATTTTTCAAATAGCCTCATTCTTTTGATTAAGCTTAAAAAGTTTTAGATTAAACTAAAACTAATAGATAAAGTTATCTAAGTGAAAAGAGATGCAATTTTCAAATTATTAATCAAAAACTCACGAAATGTACAAGTAGGTAAAAAATAGCATAGTAACCGCAGACAACATAATGCCCTCTACATCTGGTTTTAGGGGTATAAACAACACTCATGTTAAAAAATAAATAAAATTGTCTTAACCCCACCCATGGACAGCATAAACGCTAAACAAAGATCCAAAACAAAGAGTATCTGACAGACTAGACTTAGAACATCTGAACATTTTCTAGATAAACTCCTCCCACCTCCTCGTCTGATGTATCGTGGTCGTATTCATCATCTTTCTTTGTTTCTTTGCCCCCACCTGTTTCTTCTTTCTTCTTGCTCTTCTTTACACTCGACTGCAGACAAAGTTTCACAAAGGAGACAATCCGGTGAGCGTGGAAATGAAAATGGTATAGCGGTGTCTTCTTAGATTTACCTGCTCACTCTGAACCTGCACCTCCTCCTCCTCCACCTCATCATCATCATCATCATCCAATCCTTCTTCTTCTTCTTCTTCCTCCTCCTCCTCCTCATCATCATCATCTAATCCTTCTTCCTCCTCTTCTTCTTCAGAATCGCTTCCAGAATCCTCCAGTCCTGAGTAGACGCTGTCCTCACTGTCTGATAAATCTTCATCAACACCCTCATCATCTTCTTTTTTGTTCAAATGAAAGAGCTGAGGAACAGACAGACACAGAGACATGTTACCCCATGTTTCATCATCTTTAAAGCTGGAACAGGTTAGAGATGTGCCAAGAAAATGGCCAACAACTAAATTCTGTTGATCTTCCTGTCGACTGACATCCAGCTGAGCAGAAACTCAAATATCTCATTTTCTTCTGATCAGTAAACCAATTTTTCGCCAGTAAGAAGAAAGCAATATGTTTTACATTTTGTTTATTTCTGTGAGGTTTTTAAAATTCAGATTAGAAGCACACGACTTATAGAAACTGATATGAAGAGAAAGAGAGACCGAGACCTTTTGATGGATGACTAAGACACAATATTACACTAGGGGAGCTTTGTTTTATCTTTTTTAAGCTCCCGGTGTCTGTTTTAATGATACATTTGTATATGTTGGAAATCTCAGAATTTATGTGAGGATGCAGGTTTTCTAGGGGATGGACTCAGACACTGATGTTTTACTGATGCTAGGTGTACAAACTGTACTAAAATATCAACTCTATGGTCATTTTAAATTCTTTTACAAACACCACTTTTAGGTAGCATTACAATCTTTTCCCTGGTGCCTATAAAGATGATTTAATTTAATAAGATCAGTAAATTTCTCCACTGTGAGATCAATAATGTCAATCAATTTGCATTTTTATATGTTTTTAAAGCCAATCCTTAAAGGAGAAAACAGAATTAGCTCAAACCTGCAGGTCCAGATCTGAGCTCTGAACCTGCCAACAAACTGAATGATTTATTTTTAAACAAGCATATCCTACAAAACAAATGTTTGACATGTATAGTAACCTTATTAACAAATGCCTAAGACTAGGGTCGCCAGCCGTTTTGCTTATTTCAGACATTTTACCGCTGTAACACGCTATGTAAAGGACATCGTCCCCCAGGGACTGACTTTGGACACACCTGATTAGCACAATCAAACTAGATACTAAACAAAATCAGCTCTGCTGAACAAAGAACAGTGAGACATCATGAAATGGAAATAAGGCTATAGCTTATAGGAAGGTTTAAAACAGGAGTCTAAACATAGGCAGGAATTGGTGAGGAAGCGCAGACCTTTCAAATATTTCATAATTTTCCATAAATTCCAAATAATATTTCATCTCAGTTTTAAGGCACAACTATGAAGAGCAGACGGGAAATACAGTAACTACTTTTCCCCCTGTGAGCTTTAGATCCCAGCTCTGATACTAACCAAGTTCTGTTTTATTATAGCATACCAGCAACAATGGTGAATGCAAAGTAATTACCATGGATGATTTAAAGTGATGGAAATAAAAGAAATGCACAATTAAAATTCAGTAAATTATTATACAGTTTGAAAACCCAGAACTTAACGCCCTTATTGAAACATACATGACTAGTTTGGGGTTTACCAATCAATGTGTTGCTTTGTGTCAATAAGAGCACAAAAACAAAGTGAAATCTGGTTTGTTTAACACATTTGCAATTTTCATAAAAATAATACGAGCATGTCTGCATATAAAAAGGAGAACCATTATAAATAGTGATCTTTATCCATTATTGAGTTTCAGATATGAAGGAAAATGTATGAGAAATCTTAACCCTATAATTAAATTAATTCTGGAGATTTGCACTTTCACTATCGTTGCACTATCACTATCGATGTGGCTCAACTTTTACATCATCACAAAGCTCACCAAGGTGTAGCTCCTATAATCCTGTATCCAGAGTGGACATGCAAGTCGGCTGTTGAAGAATGCAGAGCGTGAATGCACTAGAATCTGCAAATGCATTAGAATACTTAATCTCTAAAATGGCCTTTGAGGCTGTAGTGGTGTGCAGTTCAAGTATCAACCCAAAGAAGTACAATTTGTTTTTAATATGGCCAAAATCGGCATTTAAAGGGTCATTGTTAATATGTGTTAGTACTTAAAAAATGAAAATAACAAAAAAGGAGTCTGTCTCTAATGTGTCTCATATTGGCCTGGGCTGCCACTTTGTTCTTAATTCTATTTAAAGTCGGATACTGATCTCAGGGCAGCAGCTTCCTAGTTTAACTTAGAGAGATCTACCCTAGTAGATATTTTGTCACGCTTTCCTCCGTCCTTAAGCACTTTATATGCTCAGTGCTAGCATGCTATCAGCTAGCCAGCAGGTCTTGACCAGTTCACCCAAAACCCCTTCGTGCTGCATGTCAGTATCAGCCTCACCTGGTCCTCCTCCTCCTCGTCATCCTGTTTACTTCTCTTTTTGTTTGTTTTCTCTGTTTTCTTCATTCCTGTTCTCTGTCCGGCACTTTGCACGTTTCTTCTACTAGCCTCCATTGAACCATGTGGGAAGCTTGCAGGTTCAAAGGTTACACGTCATAACTACAGAAACTATTTTCTGTTGGCGCCCCCTCTGGTAAGGCGTGTGAATTGAGCAGAAAAACTGAATAGAATGATGTATTCTGTTTCAAGTTGCTCTTAATTTAAACATTTTAAATAGTTAAGCAACTATACATATTTAAACAATTTAAGCAAAGGCAAAATTAAACATTTTTGCTCTTGTGAACATTCCATGTTTTTTAAGAGGTAAGCATGGTTGGATTTGTCAAAAATCGTGATATTAAACCCATCATATTTTCAATACACTAGGCCAAAAACAAGAAAGAAATAAAAAATAATAGTATTAAAAAAATAATTCATAACATTTTCAATTTAATAAATTCAACAATTTTATTTGTTTTATTTGTTTACTTATTTTATATTTATTTATTTGTGTTATTTATTTGGAATACTATGAATTGTAATACAAAAAAATACAGAAAAAAAGGTTTTCGAACTGAACAAAGATACAAACATATATGGGAAATATGTATACCCCATATTGTGTCTATACTATATATTTCATGAAAAGTTTAAACATCTTACAAATAACTGAGGTGATATTTGTAAAGGCCTTTATTAAAAAAATATCTAATACATCACAACAAGCAACATACGCAGGAGCTGTTAAACCTTAATCACAGTTCGATGTTAGTGTGGTTTGTCTTTGCAATCCTAAAGTCGAACACTAAGTTCAAAGTTTATTTTAAAGTTGAGTCTTTAATTATAAATTTTATAGAAATCGTTGTGCTTTTAAGCGGAACCCGAAGTTGAGTCTATGTTTCCACCGAAGCGCCACGCGGAGACAACAAACCAGTAATAGCGTCGTCATAGATTGATACTTTTGATCTAAATGCAGAATTAGCTTACCTTACCCTATATTGGGGGTTTAATGTGCGGCATGAATCTGTGAGGGCTTAAAGCAAGATTTTTTTTTCAAACCGCTGCAGCCGAAGAAGAAATGGATGACAGGCTGCCCGATCCCACCCGAAGACCCCAAACAATCCAACACGGAAGAGGTCTGTAACACCAGTGGGGCTAATGTTGTTTTACTGTTTAAAATTTTAGAAAACTTTGTTAAACATATAGATAAACGTTTAAAGTTTCGATGCTATTTCCTGAATTTTCTGGAGATAAAACAAACATGCCAACCTTATATGTGTTTTAAAAAATAAACACATATAAGGTTGATGATAAGGGCCACTAAAAAATAAAAGTAAATAGTTGATTTCTTTAAATTTATTTCAGTGTAATATGAAAAAAAGTCAAAATTCTGACTTTAACCTCAGAATTCTGACTTTAATCTTAGAATTCTGACTTTAATCTTAGAATTCTGACTTTTTTCTCAGAATTCTGACTTTAATCTTAGAATTCTGACTTTAATCTCAGAATTCTGACTTTTTTCTAAGAATTCTGACTTTAATCTCAGAATTTTGACTGTAAATCTCAGTATTCTGAGATGTGGGAGCACTCAGCTTCAATGACAAAGATGTGAGTTGTTTGGGAGGGCCAGTAACACATTTGAAAAATGACGAAATTAGGCGACTTTTTACATGCCTTAGGGGGTCCCCGGTGGTGCTAAGAGCAGAAGGTGATTAAAACAAGAGGGCTAATCTCTAAAACAGACATGGCTACGCCTTGATGCTAACATGTTTGTTAGCTGTCAGAATTCAGTCAGAATTATGAGCAAAAAGCAAAAATTCTGACAAAAAAGTCAGAATTGTGACTTTTTTCCCATACTAAACTGAAATAATATTTAAAAATCAGTTAACTTTTTTATTTTTTTCAGTGGCCCTAATCCTCTTCCATAAATAAATACTTAACAGTCAGAGGGGGGACTTTATTCCATGCTTGTTTGCACCAATCAAACCATGTCTTCTTTTTTGTAAAAACATATTGAAACATATGTACACAAAATATTTTTATGTATACTGATTTATTCTTACTCAAAATTCTGTACTGAGAGCAAAGTGGAACAATAATCTAAATTTCTAATCAGACTTGTCAAAGGAAGCTGACTTATGAGTTTACATGACAGAGGTTGCTGTGTGTGCATCTGCAAGTATTGGTTTATCTCATAATATGTCCAAGCACAACTTGTAAACTGAACATTTTAAAATAAATAAACAAATAGTACTCTCCAAACACCAGCCTATTAATGTTGTATTTGTTTTAGTGGTGTGTGCATATTTTTAATAAAAAAAAATATATATATATATATATATATATGTGGAGCTCCATATCTTATTTTTTTCCAATGAAATGAATTCTTAAAATATACTCCTAATCAAAATTGATGGTACTCCTTATTTAATTAAAGAAAACCCCAAAATAGTCACAGAAATGATTTTAATCTGCTAAAAGGAATAATAGATAAAAATCCTATGAAAACAAGAGAATGAAAGTCAGACATTGCTCTTCACCCATGCTTCAACAAAACAATAAAAAAAATCCGAAACAGACCTAAATAAAAATGATCGTTTCCTTAAATTAATATTTTGTTGCACAACCTTATGAGGAAATCACTGCAGTCAAATGATTCCTGTAACTGCAAGGGAGACTTTCTGCTCCTCACGAGGTATTTTGTCCCACTCCTCATGAGCAAACTGCTTCAGTTGTCTTAGGTTTGAAGGCTGCCTTTTCCAGATGTCGTGTTTCAGCTCCTTCAAAAGATGCTCAGAAGGATTTAGGTGGGGGTCATAGGAGGCCACATCAGAATAGTCCATTGTTTCTCTCTTAGCCTTTCTTGGGTGTTTTTAGCTGTGTGATTTGGGTCATTGTCTTGTTGCAAACCCGTGACCTCTGACTGTGACCAACCTTTCTGACAGTGGGCAGCACATTTCTCTCTAGAACTCCTTGATGGAGTGATGAGATTTTATTGTACACCCTCAGAGATTCAGACACCTTGTGCTAGATGAAGCAGAGCAGCCTCAAAACATAACAGACAATCCTCCATGGTTCACACAAGGGACAGTGTACTTTTCTAGATATGATTCATTTTTCTATCTGTGCACTTAGAGCTGCTGCGCCTTGACAAAATGTTAAATTTCTGTATCATCTGTCCATAGGACATTCTCCCAGAAGCTTTTTGGTTTGTCAGCTTGTCATTTGGCAAATTCCAGTCTGGTTTTTAATGAGTTGTTTTCAACATTGATATTATGCTTTGTTACCTCAATTAAATCCACTTTGGCTCAAACAATGACGGCTTGTGTGATCTGATTCTGATGTTCCTTGAGCTTTAAGTCCACCTTTAATCTCTTTAGACGGGTTTCTTGAATCTTTTGTTACCACTTTTGTTATCTGTTAGTGTTTATTCATTATACTAATAATTATATGTCTGTGAGTTTCCTCCTGTCCTCCATCAATTTTCCTCTGTTGTCACGTCAAGGGAGTACGACGGAGTAATAGGGCCATGCTAGAGATTATTTTCTTCTATTTCAAGAATAAAGTCATAACATTAAGAGAATGAAGTCATAAAATTATGAGAATATAGTCATAAAATGACGAGAATTAAGACGTAAAATGATGAGAATAAAGTCATAACATTACGAGAATAAAGTTGTAAAATCATGAGAATGAAGTCATCATTCCACAACCTGTTTCAGAAAAAAAGCTTTGAGCTCCGATCAGCATATGACGGCCGACTACCAAACAGCAATCTGAGTCCACTTTGACATGCTGCCCAATTTGTTGTTGGTGTGCTAAAAGATTTCCTTGTTTGTCAAACCAGAGCCAAAGTATAACTTCACATGATGCTCAACATTCCTCATTTTAGTGAATAATGTGCTTCTTGTAGGAGTTGTCATAAAATAGAACTCGGTTCTCGTAATTTTAGGACTTAATATTACAACGTTATTCTCGTAATTTTATGACTATTCTCGCTGTGACTTTTTTCTCGTAATATTACGACTTTATTCTTGTAATCTTATTACTTAATTCTCATAATGTAACGACTTTATTATTGTAATTTTACGAATTTATTCTCTTAATTTTAACAACCTTATTCTTGTAATTTTACGACTTTATTATCGTAATTTTAATACTTTATTCTAATATTGTTATGACTTTACTCTCGTAATTTTACGATTTATTCTCGTAATTTTATAACTTTTTTCTCATAATGTTACAACTTATTCTCTTAATTTTATGACTATTCTCATAGTGACTTTTTTCCTCGTAATATTACGACTTTATTCTCATAATTTTACGAGTTCATTTTGGTAATTTTACAACTTTATTCTCGTCATTTTATTACTTAATTCACATAATGTTATGATTTTATTCTCGTCATTTTATGACTATTCTTGTTGCGACTTTATTCTCGTAATTTTACGAATTTATTCTCTAAATAGAAAAAAAAACTATAGCCTGAACCTAATACTCCGTCGTACCATATCACTGCAGCTGCAGTTTCTTGTATCAAATTTATTAGCTACCTGTTAAAGTAAACTCACAATACTATAAACAATAATTAGCTACTGTACATTGGGTTTATGGGTTATATAATAACAAATATGACCTTCCTCTTCTGGTATCACTGCTGCAACCATCTGTTTTACCTTCAGGATTTTCTCATAGAAAGCAGAATTCATGGCTTCACAGTCGTGTTTTCAGTAACACGTTACTGTAATACAGTATATCAAGTTTGACCCTAATGGAATAATATAACAAGTTACAAACTACATTTTGGTAATATTATTACAGTTATTATGTTTTTATGACTATTCTCTTTGCAACTTTATTCTCATAATGTGTACTCTAAGCACGGTGGAAGCACAGACTACAGCACAGCAAACTTTCGCAGTAGTTGAAAATGAAATGAAACTTCTCTATCAATTTGTGTCTTGTTAACCGATCAGGGTCTGGAGAGGAGGAGCACAGGGAAGGAAAAGCTTTTTTGTAACTCCATGGTTTCCTGCTTTCAATCATTGCTTAATCCCCCCAAAAAATCATCAGTACTTTTAGGAGCTCAGTAGCTTTTGATGTGTTGATAGAAACCTGTATTTTACAAGCTAGGTCACACGGTAACCCAAAACATTCTTTGTTTCTCTGTCCAGATCATCCACCCCATGTTTGGAAGGAGGAGAGTTTCACAGATCAACAAGATACAAACTCCAATATTTATCAGGAGAAAACAGAATCTATACAAATGAAAAAAGAATGGGATGTACTTAAACTGCTGCAGATGTCAGCAAGCAAAGAGAAGCAGGATTTTCTAAATGTAAATAAGAACCAGTTGGAAATTTCCCAACAACAGGTAAAAGTAGAACAGGTGGAAGTACAAATTTTGCATGTAAAACCAAACCAGGAGGAACTTGAACATTTACAGATGACAACAGACATTAAGGAAAAAAAGCCTTTGCATGAATCCCAAAACAAGGAGGAGCTACAGCAACAACTGATAAAAAAGGAACCAGAGGAAATTGACATTTTGCAGGTAAAAGTGGAAGAGACTGAAATCTCTATTAGTCGAGGTGAGGAGAAAACTTTGCTGAAGCAGGAGGCTAAATCCTCTGAAGAAAAAGATGATTGTGAAATAGAACCTACAAGGAACCAACTCTGCTCTCAGGATCTTGCTGTAGTTGAGAACCATACTCAGGAAAGAGACTATCTTGAAGACTCAGAATCAAGCCGAGATGAGGGCCAGTATTCTTGTGAAGTGTGCGATAAACATTTTACGCTCAGTAGTTCTCTAAATGATCACATGAGAACTCACACAGGTGAGAAGGCTTTTATTTGTATGACCTGCGGAAAAACGTTCACTCAGAGATGTAATCTAACTCGTCATATGAGAGCCCACACTGGTGACAGGCCTTATGCATGTGAAGTGTGTGGTAAAGGTTTCAACGATAGTGGGGATTTGACTCGTCACATGAGAGCTCACACTGGTGAAAAGCCTTTCTTATGTGTGACATGTGGGAAGGGTTTTACCAGGCAAATAAGCCTGACTGCCCACATGAGAATCCACACTGGAGAGAAGCCTTATCCTTGTCTCTCCTGTGGGAAAAGTTTTACTCAAAGCAGCTCTCTAACAGTCCACATGAGAACGCACACAGGTGAGAAGCCGTACCCCTGTGGGGTGTGTGGGAAACGTTTCTCCCGGAGCTGTCACCTGAATGTTCACATGATAACCCACACCGGTGAGACATTCCCATGTCTCACATGTGGGAAACATTTCACCCACAACAGTGCCTTAAATGTCCACATGAGAATTCACACAGGGGAGAGGCCGTACCTGTGTGGATTATGTGGTAAGTCCTTCTCTCGGAGTAGCCTCCTGACAGTTCACACAAGAACACATTCGGGTGAGAAGCCCTTTTCGTGCGAGGTTTGCGGAAAGTTCTTCTCACGACGAAGCCACCTGACATATCACATGAGAACGCACACGGGGGAGAAGCCTTTCTCCTGCCAAACCTGTGGTAAGTGTTTTAGTGGCAGGCACAGTCTGAAGTTTCACATGGGAACTCACACGCGTGGAAATGTGAGAGTCATTCATTAAACTGCACTGCTGGGGCACTTGAGTAGGTCAATGGTCTTAGAAACTAAATGCTAGTAAAACTGTGTCTATTAAACTATTGATAAATAGTTACTATTTAACATTAAATTTTTGTTTTTATTTTAATTTATGTCGTTAACTGATTGCTTTTCATTTCCAAAGTGGATTCCTAGAACAGAAATATGGCTACTTGTGAGAGTAGTGTGTTGTCATACTGTACTTTTACAACTTTACTGATAGTATCATGAAGTAGAACACAGCAGAATCCCTTCATTAAAAACAGGTTTCAAATGATCTCTTATTTTGATCTCATGTCTGGTGTTTAAGAAGCAAAAATAAAGAGCTGTTGATCTAAAAATGTGTTTGTGTTTGTCTCCTTGGTTCTGGCCTCGCCAATGTTTTTCCGATCACTTTATTAGGAGTTTGTTTGATCAACTTTGGTTATTCTTTTCCTAAAACATCTTAAAATAAAGTTAAATTAGTCAGATGGTAAAATGATTCTGGTTTTGGGGGGAAAAAAACTCCAGATATAATTCCAATGAAAAACAACTTACAGTTTTCTTGGCTAATAGAAAGCCAATGACATTCATATCATATTTCTGGTTTTGCAGGAAATTTCAATCTTTAAATTGAAAAAGGTCCACCAAAATCAATCAGACTGCTGCAGGTAATCCAAAATGTTGTTTCTGATGTTCTCAATAAAACTAGAAAAGCAGATCATGTCGCTCTGGTTTTAAAATCCTTGCACTGTACACAGTTATAGCTCAGAGAATAGATTTTAAAAACCTCCTTCGAATTTAGAAATTGCTGAAATGTTTAGCATCACAATGCAGTCAAGACTTAATATCATCGTTCAATCTTTTCAGAACACTTAGGCATCCTGGTTCCAGGCGATACAAAATAAAAAATGCTATTGTTCTTGGTTTTGGAATGTATAAAAGGAAAGAAACATTTAAGACAGACAGACCGAC